CATGCACATTCGGATCTGCTTGGAGGAGCTGGCCGGCGTGGGCGTCTGATATGCTGAGGTGGCCCTGTGTGGCTTGCGACCATCATGAGCGCCCGACGCACCTCTTCTGCCTCGAGCACGGCAGTCAGCCCGACAGGCAGATGCCCTCCGACAACACGATTGGAAACAGTGACGATGCTTTCAACACTTCCTTCTTGGAGGCGGGCGCCGGCAGACACGTCCCGCGTTGTGTGATGGTGGATTTTGCGCATTGAAGTGTCCGCGCGTCAGCGCGGCCTGTGAAATGCGCTTGGGAGTGTCCAGCGGTGAACGCCACCGCGGCCGCAACACTTGTCCGAAACCACCTGGCCGCTTTGCGCACGAGGCTGTCCGCCAGCGCGGCCGCAGAGATGCGCCAGCCGGTGGCCACAACCACAGCCGCATGGGTTTTGCATACCAAGTTGCGGGTGTCATGGTGGGGTGTTTAAGCGGGCAGTGGGGTTGTCAATTCATTACCGGTCTTGGTCGTTACATCATTAAGCTTGCACCACGCATAGCTTGTCCCACATAGGTCACACCACGTAATATACACCACGCAGCTTGCACGACGTGCGTTATCCCTTATTGTTGCATATGTGGAACAGCCTTTATTACCGTAGCTTGCGAAATAATGACTTGCACTACGTAGTTTGCACCGCCGTAGTAGGCTGTGCAGTTTGTACCCCCTTGGGGACTACACATTAGATGTGTTTCTGCCCCATCGTTCATGGTTCATTTTCTACATGCAATCAGACCAACCCTGCCAGGTGCGCCCCACTCCCCATCCGTGTCAAATAGGTCTATGCGAGCGCATTGGTTTGTCCCAAAGTAGCAGTTTGCAATAATCCATCGCGTCATAACCACAAGCTTTACACGCGCGAACACGTCGACATCATACCAAGCACATTCGTTTTGCACGCGTTGCGACACAGCCATACTATACTCAATAGCCGTCAGGTTTCTATTTCAAGGCTAACAGGTCGTCTGCCCGCGCTCAATTGCTGTATAAGTCTCGTGCAAAGCCCGCATTGCCATCTTATCATGCGGTGCATTTGCGTTGATCTAGCATTTAGCATGTGCTCAATGCGCAAATCCGTACCACATAATACCATTCGGGTCAGTCGCGCGCGCCTTCATGCGCGCGTGTCGAAATCGGTTCGAAACCATTATTAGTCGGATTGTGTCAACGCCAGTTTTCCAGACGCAAATGGCAACACAACATAGCTCTCCCAAAACACGGTGGTTTGAATTTCAGTGCGCGCGCACTCCGTCACCATGGCCCTCATCAGCGTCATCTTACCGCCACCGTCATCGTCATCGTCAATCGCCGCCATTGCCACCGTCGTAAGCACAGTCACCACCATCACCGACGTATGGACATCATCATCATCATCGTCGTCGTCGTCGTCGTCACCAGCATCGGCGCCTTCGTTGGCCTTGCCGCCGTCATCGTCATCATCGCCACCACCATCGTTTATCATCATCTGTGCCGCCGTTGTCGACGTCATCATGATACCGCGCCCGCCCGAGTCACCGACCTGCATTGAAATGCAGCGCGCCAGAACGGCATGTGAGACGCGCTGGTGAGTTCCCGTCGGTAAGCGCCATCGCAGCCGCATCAGTCGTGCTTAACCAGCTTTTCGATCTGCGCGCGACCGTTCGCGGGCCAGCGTGGCCGCGCAGATGCGCTAGCAAGTGCCAATCGGGAGCCGCAATCGGGGCCGCAGGGTTTTGCAGAACAAGTTGCGGGTGCGAGGATGAGATGATTGCGCGCGTAGTGGTCTTGACAACTCACGAGTTGACAACAAATCATGGCACCACGTAGATCGGACCAAATAGCGTGCACCACGTAGCTTGTGACACAGTTTCCTTGCGCCACGTAGCTTGCATCACATAGCGTGCACCATGTATATTACATCGCATAGCTTGCGCCACATTCCTTGGATCACAGCTTGCACCACGCAGATTGTACTACAAAAGTTACGCCACATAGCGTTCACATGAACAGTGCAATACCTTATTGTTTCGGGCCACCGCTGGCTCAACCGTCCAATGCGTATTGTTAAGGTCACACACCGGCTGCCAGCTGGGAAACAATAGAAGTACGGACCACATTGACGTAGCTGTTCCCACGCAGGCTTGTCGCTGATCGAACATACCTGGGACTTAGTATTTGGTATCACCCAGGATGTGGTGGGAAGAAGAGAGGAGACGATCGGACAGACGCTTTCAAACAGGAACCGAAGCAGAACGTGGATTCTGGGGCAAATCTCGTCGTGTGTGTCGATGGATTTCTCCGAGATGGCAAAATGGCTGCTGCAGGACTTGCGCTGTAGGCGTACAGGAGTGGGCGGGCGTCGCCCTCAGTGCGTTCACTCCTCGTTCATAGGAAAACTTACGCATTCCAGCTAGGCCTCCTTTTTGTTGTTTTGTATTGGTTTCGCTGGGTGGGCGGCAGCATCAGGTCCTGACATCCGCTTGTACAGCTCTTCGATCCTCGGCCCCAGAAGTTCCGATCGCTTCCCCGGGGATAGTGCACGTTGTCCCAGGTCCGTTTCTTGCTGGCCCCTGAAGGCCTTGAAGCGGCACCCGAGGGCCGAAGTCGAGGAACAGGTGCCCGCTGAACAGATCATACCGTTGATCTGGGGCATCGGTTTCGGATCGTGTTGGTTTCACCGGGTGTTCTGCCCCGAGGTCCCTCGGGCTGCGCGGCCCCGCCGGAGCCGCGCCGGTTGCCAAGCGAGAGGCGCGCGGCCGCGAGGTGGCTCAGCGCCGACGAGTTCCGGGGGCTGTTCCGGAGGCGCCTGCAGGACCGGGGGCCAGGTGCTGCAGGACGTGTCCCTGGCCCGAGGTGCCCCTCTTCTCGGGGGTGGACAGACCTCCTGCCCTGACGCGTCGATTAAGGAATTGGCCGTTTTCGGTTCGCGAGAGGGCGTCGCGTCGCGGCCGTCATTTTTGCGGGTCCAGGTCCGTCGGTTTCGGTCCCAGGCAGTTTTCACTAAAGGGAGGTTTACTAAAGGGAGGTTTGTCCACCGCCGATATTCCAAGTCCCCTATTAATCGTCCCCCGGGTCCGGTTTTGTAAGGCGCCTTTTTTGTAATTGGCGGACACGGTTTATTAGGGCGCTTTCTTTGGATCGGAGCTTAGGGGGTCCGGTTTATTAAGGCGCTCCGTCGAAGAGGAGGGTCCTGAACATTAGGTCGCATTCGGAGCGGTGTTCGTTTTTTTTCTGGGGGGGTATATTAATACTACATTTGGAGTCGGCTTCTTGAGGCGGGGGGGCAGACGGCCTCTTGAGCACCTCTCACGAGGCCCAGAGGGCCCCAGGAAGGGCAAGATGTCGCGACAGGCTTGGGACACTTCGGGCCAGGACCGCCCTTCTACTGGCAACACCCGGAGGGGTGCGCGAGAGGGGGGCAAGGAGGTTGGTCGTTCGAGGCTCGTGCCCGGAGGGGTGAGGTCATAGGGATGGGCAAGCACTTCCAGGCTGCGTCTGCGCTGTTTGAGGCCTCCTCGCCCCAGGGCCCCCACGTCTCGGGGCCCCTTCCTCGACGCGCCGAGGAGGGGCACGGGCGTGAGAGGGATTCGAGCCAGCGGGCGTCGGCGATGCGACGGCGGGCCGGTCCAGGGGCTTGGGGGAGGCATGCGGGGTCGGGGTTGGGCGAGTCCCTCGTGCCAGGGGAGCCGCGTCAGTTCCGGAAGGTTGGGCATCTGGAGATGTTGGTCCCCAGCCTCTTGTGTTTCGGGCGTTCATGTTTACCCCCTCCCCCCCGCCTCGGTCCCCCCATCCCCCTGCGTTGGGCTCTCGTTTCGAACAGAACGCTGGGGTCTCCAGGTCCAGCGGAGTGGTGTCTCATGCTGATCCACATGGGAGATCCGCGCTGTCGTTCTTTTGTCGGCTCCTGGGAGGTCCAGCTAAGTGATGTCCTACGCAGATCCAATAAGACCTCGCCCCCAGCAACGCTATAATATTGCCATTTTAGCTGGCTTCTGGAAGGTTCAGCGGAGTGGTGCTCTACGCGGCTTCCTTCGGGTATTCCTTCTGAGGCCAAGTCAGTCAGGCCATCAAACTGGCAACACCAACGTCGCGCGAGGCATGCAGCGCGTAGGAGTCCATGTAGCTTTGACAACAAATGGCGATTCTTGACATGGCAACATCGTTGTAACATTGGCCCTCTGCTACGGACAGTCGCTGCATATTCCCAAAACAGTGCGTGCACTCAGGGGTTCCTACTTCCTACTTCTCTCCCTAAGGAATTGGTTGAGCCTGTAGCATGTACAGCTTTATAGCGCGTGCTAACATGCGTGAGACCATGCGGGAAACCATGCGGGGGATCATCCGGGATACCATGCGGGAGCTTCTGCGGAAGACCATACAGGAAACCACACGAGAGACCATGCGAGAGATCATACGAGAGACCACACGGGAGACCACACGAGAGGCCATACAGAAGACCACGGGCCAGGAGCCACCGAGTTCGGATCTGGACGAGCTCACAGCTGCACTGTACGTGACCCTTACAATAGGCAAGCTGTTCAGGACGGGGATGCCACGCGGGAGGCCATGCGGGAGGCCATCGGGGAGACCACGTGGAAGGAGACCGTGCGGGAGACCGTGTAGGCGGCCGTGCGCAAGGCCACGGGTGCGACCGGACGGCAGACCATCCGGGAGATCACGGGCCCCAATCCAGAGGAGCCCACACGTGCCGCGGAACGACAGCACATCAGCACCCTTGCAGGCAAGCCGTTCAGGGAGCGGTGCCATCTGAGCACCTGTCGCCGCTTTCGTGAGCCAACGGGAGATCAAGCGGAGTGGTTTCCCGTGGCGATCCGCATGGGGCCTCCATTCAAGGGCGCTGCCACCCGCGCAACTATCGCCGTTGTCGTGAGCCCCCATGAGGTCCAGCGGAGTGGTGTCGTACGCAGATCCGAATGAGACCTTGCCTCTCCTGGCGCTGCCGGCCGTGCAGCTGCAGGCATTC